GCTTTCACCTCCCATCTAACGAGCCCTACAAGGTCTAGTGGCAGAAAGGTAGAACCAGCCAACCGGTTGATGCATTAAGCCGTCTCCTTAAAAAAGGAGAGACAGCCAAGATTCGCAGTTGCATCTCAAAAGAACACCCAAACAGATCACGATTCATTCTTTAACATACAGAGATTGTAAGATGAATGTTATAATGGTGAAAAACACCAGTGGAAAAATGGGTGAAGGGTAGGAACAACAAATTCACAAAACAAGAATAAATGGTCAGTATGCCTTAAACATCCTCAAACCCTGTTTTTAAAAAGAAGTATAAATTAAAATGATGAGGTACTTGTTTTTCTGCCAAATTTAAATATTGAAAAGTAGTTCCCAGTGCTGGTTAAGGTCAGAGGGACTGAGCAACCTCGTGTGCTATGGAAGGTCACAATGCAACTTTCTGGAGCCAGTGGGATAACACTTGCCAGATCCCTCAGTAATTCCCTGTGTCTGAGTTAGCCCACTTGTCTACTAAGTGGAAACAAAATGAAATAACTAATATTTTATCAGTTTGACCGACAAAAGGGACAAGCACTCCTCTAATGGTTGAAGCTGTTAATTTATTCTGAGAAAATGATGTAAGGGGGTTGGCACAAAGATTCCAGAGCAAGGATGTTTACAGAAGCATGACTTACGTCCTTGTTAGGTGCCGTTGAGTCGTCTCAGACTCATAGTGACCCTGTGCGGAGCAGAATGAAACCCTGCCTGGCCCTGTGCTGGCTCCATGATCCCTGCTGTACCTGAGCCCATCACCGCAGCCACTGTGTCAATCCCTCTTGTTGAGGGTCTTCCTCTTTTTTGTTGACCCTCCACTTTTCCAAGCATGACATCCTTCTCCAGGGAGTGGTCCCTTCTGACAACATGGTGAGTAGGTGAGACGAAGTCTGCCAGTCTCGCTTTCAAGGAGCATTCTGGCTGCACTTCCTCCAGGACAGATCTGTTGGTTCTTTTAGCGGTCCACGGCACTTTGAGCATTCTTCGCCAGCACTGCATGCTCATAGCACCAGCATGACTTATAGAACAGGAGAGTTAGAAAAGGAGCAGTCCGCAGTGAGACCGGCAATCTGCAAGGTGGGCCACTGTGTGCACCTTAAATTGTTCTCACAACGTGTGGTCCTGGGTTGGATTCTGTGCTGGGAAACAGGAAAGTGCTGGAGACGTTAGGATGAGTGAAGGAATATGAAAATGGCCCCTGGATTGGATGAGAGTCGGTACATCAGTGCTGAGTTCCTGGATGATAATTGTACTCTGGTTCTGTGAGAGAGTGTTCTTGTTCTCAGGAAATACACTCTGAAGTATTTGGGGATTAAAGGACACGATGATGCAGTTTACTCTCAGATGGTTTTGGGAAAATGTAGCGATACGTGATGAGAGCGTGAGCAAATGATAAGCAGACAGGGCAAGATGCTAACAACTGTTTAAACTGGAAAGGAGTTCTTGGAGCTCATCTTGTCATGTCCCTCCAAGCTCCAAGTTTCATCACAATCAAATGTTACCAGAAAGTTCTCCATGACGAAACGTATGTTCTCAGTTTCAAAATATGGGGAAATTCTCACTCTATAATTTTAAATAGAAGGAGCAGTTCACCAAGCAATCAGTGTGTCTAGCTGTCATTCTCTTCAGAGGTCTAGCCCCCTGTCTACTAAGGAGGATTTCTGTCTGTGTAACCAT